TGAGCATTTTTTGGAAATAAGAAATTACTATATGCAAAAATTATGTAGGTGTCTAAAGGAATACTTTAAAAGTGGAATTGCAGATTCAAAACGTGCATGTTTAATAAAGATTTCGTATATATGCGAAAACTTACCTTGTACTATTCCACTCGGCTGTAAGCTGTCGCGCACAATTTGACAGCCAGGATCAGAGACAACTATCAGATAAAACGAAAATACCACTGCCACTACGTCTATTGTCATTTCTTTTGAACTAATTAAATTTGATTTGTAGAGTAAAAATGTTCATCTTGCATAACCGTTGCTTCTTTCCGGTCGCGGGGGTAGACATGTCAGACATAACTTCCACAATTCATTCTCCTGTTACGGCACCAGCGTTTCCATAGAAGACAACTGGAGTCTAGAGAAAACGCATTCACAATACACTTGCACTTGGTTATTTTTGGCCGTCTTGTGAGTCTTCAGCCGGTAAGCTGGGTAAGAAATAGTTGCTTAACCTTCCTTTCTGGAGGCTTTCGCAATACATGCCCAAACCCTCGAATCTTGGACTTCTCAATCTGGCAAAACAGAGGCTGTGCATAGAAGTTTCCCGGATGCCAGTATTCCGGACCATTTCGAGACATGTGATGTCAGCGAGTCTTCTCAGGGAACCCATTTCACCCGCTTGTACCCGGAATCGAAGTTGCTCAGACGTGGTAAACGATTCGTCACTGCACGTAAGCATCTGGGATGAAGATCGATTTGTATTCCGTGACCTTAGTTCTCAGGCTAAGTACCCTAATGTCACAAGAATTCGGGAAAATTCGCGCAGAACAACATTGGCTGCTCCAATCCGCCGGTCGATTTCTTCCTAAAATTTTCCATCACCAGAAAACATGACCCCGGGGTACTTGAATTCCTCCACATACTCGACTACTTGCAGGCTGATACGAGAGAATAACAGGCATGAGAACGAGAAGCACTAGACTTCTCGCTTTAGATAGTCACACGCATCATGGCCACGTCCCATTTGGATGCAAACCGTTCCAGAGAGCGCTGTCGATCAGTTTCAGAAGATGCTGGCAAAACAAGGTCTGCTGCGAATAGCAACCGTCTCGTCTCCGCATTTCTTACGGGCACACGTCGCCCTGGCTGCTTGTAACTATTCTATCCATATAGAACACACTGGAAAAGGGACAGAAAGGAGCCTTGGCGAAGACCAATGCCAACGGTAAAAGTTTTTTGACTTAACGCGACTCACTTTGACGCAGCAAACGTTATCAGAAATCGTTATCAGAAAAGCAGCAAACGCAGCAGACGTTATCAGAAAAGAATGATCGGATGGACCGTCGCAATTGGCCATCGATCCCACATGTTTGCAGGAATGCATATAGGCTCTTGCATCAGGTCACACGTTTTCACTAGGTTCACAGAGCAGTTGTTCACCAGATAAGCAATATCCCACAATTTATGAACAATCTAGCGTAGAACGATCAGATGTGCCTCGGCCGGTCAGGAGGCCACACCGACATTCTAGTATTTTCTAGCCAGTGTATCCGCGGCACCTGGTTTCTACAACCCTTGCGTAGATTTTCTCCGGCATGCTCAATAAGATAATGCTCCGATAATATTACAATCCCCGTTCTGAAGTCTACTAGTGTCTTCCTCTAGTCGTTTGACAGACACAGACATAAGGAAGCACTTGCCTTGTTCGTTTACTGCTTTGAGCATTTTATACCAGATTTCTTCGATTCCACTAGTCTTTTCATTTTTCAAGGTTTTCTCAACCTTTATAATTTTATCTACAGAGATAGTGATATCCATTCCCTGATGCTCTACAAATGAGTCTTCCTGCGTTGTTCGGGGTTAAGGAGTTCTTCAAAAAACTCTCTCCTTCGCTGAAGAATATCCTTATCCTCGGAAAGATGGTATTCAGACCTGTCCTTCAAGGCTCTTAGACTGTTCTTCTTTCATCCGCGGAGCCGGCGGATGGTCTGCCAGAGTACCTTGCTTGCTGAGTGAAACTTATCCAAGGAATCAGTTTTGGCTTTTGCCATTACTTTGGCTGCCGCCATTCTTGATTCTTTATACCTTATGCGAGTTGAAGGTTCTTCATATCCAAACCATTTCTTGAATCAAAGCTTCTTTTGTTTGACTGGCAGTCATGCATTCCGTATCCACCAATGAGTTTTTCTCTCAACTGTAGGTAGCCGTTCAGCGAGCCCGCACCGTTCGACGGAAGGCCCGAGTACGTCGCTCCGAAAGAGCTCGTGCTCGGTTTCAACACTAGTGGTCATCACCATGATCTGTTCAAGCCATCGTGCGACGTTATTTGAAAATGTCGGTCTCGTATCCGCGGTAAATCATGCCTCCCATTTGAATATCTAGTTGCTTCTGCAATTAGATAGTCGCATTGCACTCCTCTTTTGACAGGTAACCAACCATAAAATGGTGATCAGTTGACAACTACAAGCCTCTAATAACGCAAACATTTATTACAGAGCGTCGCAAATCAGACGAGACGGTTATAAAATATAGAATTCTGCGCAAAAGGTTCTCTGTACAAGGTATAAAGATGGACTCTTCGATGCTCTAGGAAGGGTTCATAGTTTAGAATCCACTGTATGCACGAAACCACAACAACTCCATGCCGTTACTGTTGAAATTGCTAGGGTTGTTCGTTCCAATCACTCCTTTCCAATTTTCAGTATCTGCTGCGGTATGCGCAATGAAATCACCCGTTAAAATGAGAGATTCCGTTAACGAGATCAACGCTTTAGTCTGTTGCAAGATTTACTTGGAGCATTGCTACTCTTCCGTTGACATCATGAGAGACTCTTTACGATAAAAATCGCTACGAACAATTATCAATGGTTCTGTTTCAGAGTCAGCCAAGACTTTTTCCAGTTTGCTTAGTAATACTGCAGAGTTTTGGCATGTTGGGGCTGATGTAAGGTCGCAAATACGACTACCTTGAAAATAGATAGAAATTTAGTCTAACATTATTAATTAGAATGACTACAGTTTTACCACAACTCATAGTGCCGAAAGATCTATGCCGCTGAAAAGCAGTATTGCCAGACTGATTAAGATGAGAATGATCCATGTCAAGATGTGAATATGATTCTTGTAACAATGGCGCATCAGCATAGCAATGATACATAACGTATTCGAGAACGAAATCACTCCAGCAACTTTGGAGCAACAGAAACGTCCTTCAGATGATTGAAAAAGAACTGTAATTTTATCTGCAAGTGATATCTATGTGCCGCTTGATCTACTCCTCGACGATTTCTCTGTGACAATGCGCATTGATGCCGATATGTCGATTCGGGCACAACAAATTTAGAGTTGTGAAATTGTTTCAGATTGGCACCTGGGACAGAACCATGGTTAACTAATTATGCTGTATCAATGAAGCATTGGCAGAAAGAGCGAAACGATACAAAAGAAGAGCATTTTTAAAAAAGAAGTAGCTGCTCTGTGTATTACTGGAACACACTGTAATGGCACGCAAAGTGGCAATATAAAAAATTAAAAATCAAACTTCAAATATAAGGTGATCAATTGTAATGCCATTTTTGCAATGACAACAGAAAATTTGCAAATCGTAAATACAGTGTGCAACAGTGCAGCACTTCATCTAGAAGAAAGTCGCTTAGAATGATGCCATTCCTCGGCTGTAATAACCAGTCGCTGAAACCAAGAGAAAAGTAGACAATAAAATTTGTATAATTTTATTTCACTTCAGGTTTCACTGAAAGTGACATGTTTTTCCCCTTCTTTAACAGCGAAATTCACCTAAAATCGTTCGACTGCTCTGTACCTCATACCTGTACCATAACATGCAGTCTGGTTTCCTATAACACAGTGGTTACTGTAAACAGCATCGCAGTTTCTGATAAACGAACGCACTGACAACGCAGCTGGATTTTTCCAGTGTTAACGAAAGTAGCGGTTTGCGATGGATCAGATCAGCAATGCCATGTTTCCGGGATGGCAGTTCGTTAAGGATTCGATGCGACTGGTAAAGCGTTGTACAAAACCGGATCGTAAAGGTAAAGTTATGGTTTGTAAGCAAAAATTGTATTTTGAAACTACGTAATGTTGGCACCTTATGACGAACTGTGCTGCTTGTTGTATTCGGCTCCAAATCGTTATGCAGTTGTTTTCTACTTATACTTTGCGTAATGTCAATAGTAGTTCCTCTCATACTTCGTAAAGTCTGAGTTTCTCGTACGTCTTGCCACATTTTGTTTTCTGATGACATCAATATGCATGGTATGATAAAAATATTTAACGGTAAAGTGACTTCATGAATGCACAAGTGATGTTGATGCATAGTAGAAAAAATAAGTTAAGGTTCCAATGTTTTCCTTTGAAAATTGTACATTTTACATTTTTTTGAAAATTGTGTATTTTTCTTTGGTTGACTAATAAAACGATGGCATCGTTACAGTTGCAATGTAATTTTACAGACGACACAGGGTAAAAGCTGAAACTGGTGGATAAGCAATGAAGCAAGCGTATTCACATCG